TTTATTTATGTATCTTACTGTTTGTGCATGTCCCCCCGCTAATAAACCTTAGTGGTTCAAGTGGGTATATATGTGTTAATAAAAAAAAGTTATTTCATTTTAGCTATATTTACTCAATAAATTCAATATTTTATTTGTCTGATCTATACATATTACTGACATAGTTGATTTGAATTTTAATTGAAATTTAGGTATTTTGTATTAAATGTTATTCCATATATCTCAAGGATCTATAACTATCAATAACTGCCGAATATTGATGCAATAAACATTATATTATTTATCTATGCAACAAACACTAATACTTATGCAACCAATTATACCCAATGCATTTGTGTGACATCTAGTGAGTAATGTCTAAACTTAAGAAGAAACTAATTTAGTTCTGTTCTAGTTTAGTCATCCATATATAGGTGTCACAACTAAATTATTAAATTTATGACAAATATACTGTAAAGTAAGATTAAGATTATTGCCTTTTCATTGAAATTAAGGCTTTTTGCATTAAATGTTATTTCATTATGATATCTCCAGGATCTGTCAACGCTTGCCGAATTTCGTTGCAATAAATACTAATACTTAGGCAACTAGTTATACACAATATATTTGTATGACATCTAGGGAGTAATGCTTAAACTTCAAAAAGAAATCAATTTAGTTCTGTCCTAGTTATATAGATGTCACCATTCAATTATTAAAATATTGTAAAGTAAAATTAGATATGATAATGTAAAATACAACACTAAATTAGTTTTTGTTTATAAATACTTCCTCTTTTTTTCCAATTTCCAAGCCTGGGGAACCTTATTAAAAAAGATTCGTAGCCGCCATCTTGATGATAGAGAACTTTAGTAACATAAAGCCTGAAAGATTGCTTGGTATTGCCCTACATTTTAACCACTAAGAAGTCTCCAGGGTTAACGCAAATGTTCGTTTCTTAATCAGATGACACTAGCTCCTTGTCACTGTCTTGGGTATCTTCAAGATCTTCTTCGCATTTGCGTCTAATTCCGTTGTGAAGTATTCTGAGGAAAATTTTAAGAGTGTGGCTCATTAGGCTAATTAATCGATATTTTGAGCATTTTCTCACATTCTGTTTTTGCGACAAAGATCGAAATGAGCCAATCTGTGGGAATCACTCCGGTGTTATATATTGATTTAAAAAGTCTTATTACTACTTTTATGTTATCATTCTCTATTAGTTTCAGCAACTCAGCTGGTTATCATCTGACCACAAGCTTTTCTAATTTTAACGTTATTTATAGCGTGTTCTACCTCGCATTTCATAATTTCTGGGCAGTCAGTACAGTTTTGGTAGAATTCATCAATATTACTCCTGTCATCTTCAAACAACTCAGATATATACAGCTGCCATTCTTTTCTTATTTCGTGCTCATTTACAATAATTTTGTTATTATTGCCAACGAGTACAGAGAAAACTCGTTTTTTAAATATGTTACTCATTTCTTTTAGTTTTTTGTGCACATTAAATAAGTCCTGTTCAGATATTACATCCCCCATTTCGTCGCACCTCTTCTTTCATACATTTTTCTTTGGCTAATTTGATCTCCTTACCGGCTATTGTACCACTTTTTATTTACCCTGGAAATTGCTGAAAATACCAAAACTCTGATATATGAACTCGATACAGCATTGAAACAAACGGTACACACAAACAAATAAAATTATTGGAAATATTCATTTTATTGTACAAACGTTAAAATCATTTACATTGTTATTTTTCCTACACTAAACATCATTTATGCTAATACTAAGGTAGAATTTTTATTATAAATACTGATAGTGCCATCCACTTAAGAGCTTGAAAAGGTACTTTCTTTTGTATAATAGCCATTAATTCGTTTTTAACCAAATTATGTAGTTTAGTCTGATTATTAATGTTTTATTAAAATTTGAAAAAGTTTAACCTGGCTCCTTCGCCAGTCTTTAAAAAATTCGAGTGCATCCACCAAATTTTAAATCAATTTAAAGCATAGAAAATTTTAAAGGCACAAAACCAATATATACAACAAAAAGAACATTAAGAGCGTAGGCGCAAAATTTCGGGCCAATGCTTTTTAAATGTATTCATTTTTTTTCATCCAGAGGAAACTAATAAATATTTTTAAAAAATTTAAATGCAGAATGAAAGATTGCATTATTACCGAGGGCCGAAAGTCCCTTAGAATAGACAAAAAGATTTTGTGAATGAGATATTTGAAATTAAAAATCACAGGTAATTTTCTCATCTTTTTCACCCCTTTAACTTATTCAAATAAACATTATATAGGTTTTCAGGGACTTTCGACCCTCAGTAATAATGTAATCTTTTATTCTGCGATTAAATTTTTTAAAATATTTATTAGTTTTCTCAGGATTCGAAAAAAACGAAATTATAAACTATTTTTATTTATGTATCTTACTGTTTGTACATGCCTCCCCGCTAATAAACCTTAGTGGTTCATGCGGGTATATATGTGTTAATAAAAAAAAGTGATTTCATTTTAGCTATATTTACTCAATAAATTCAATATTTTATTTGTCTGATCTATACATATTACTGACATTGTTGATTTGAATTTTAGGTATTTTGTATTAAATGTTATTCCATATATCTCAAGGATCTATAACTATCAATAACTACCGAATATTGATGAATTGTTGCAATAAACATTATATTAAATTTATCTATGCAACAACCACTAATACTTACGCAACCAATTATACCCAATACATTTGTGTGACATCTAGTGAGTAATGTCTAAACTTAAGAAAAAACTAATTTAGGTCTATTCTAGTTTAGTCATCCATATATAGGTGTCACAACTAAATTATTAAATTTACGACAAATATATTCTAAAGTAAGATTAAGATTATTGCCTTTTCATTGAAATTATGGCTTTTTGCATTAAATGTTATTTCATTATGATATCTCCAGGATCTGTCAATGCTTGCCGAATTTTGTTGCAATAAATACTAATACTTAGGCAATTAGTTATACACACTATATTTGTATGACATCTAGGGAGTAATGCTTAAACTTCAAAAAGAAATCAATTTAGTTCTGTCCTAGTTATATAGATGTCACCATCCAATTATTAAAATATTGTAAAGTAAAATTAGATAATATAATAATCTAAAATACAACACTAAAATAGTTTTTGTTTATAAATGCTTCCTCTTTTTTTTTCTAATTTCCAAGCCTGGGGAACCTTATTAAAAAAGATTCGTAGCCGCCATCTTGATGATAGAGAACTTTAGTAACATAAAGCCTGAAAGATTGCTTGGTATTGCCCTACATTTTAACCACTAAGAAGTCTCCAGGGTTAACGCAAATGTTCGTTTCTTAATCAGATGACACTAGCTCCTCGTCTTGGGTATCTTCTTTCGCATTTGCGTCTAATTCTGTTGTGAAGTATTCTGAGGAAAATTTTAAGAGTGTGGCTCATTAGGCTAATTAATCGATATTTTGAGCATTTTCTCACATTGTGTTTTTGCGACAAAGATGGAAATGAGCCAATCTGTGGGAATCACTCCGGTGTTCTATATTGATTTAAAAAGTCTTACTACTACTTTTATGTTATAATTCTCTATTAGTTTCAGCAACTCAGTTGGTGTATCATCTGACCACAAGCTTTTCTAATTTTAACGTTATTTATAGCGGGTTCTACCTCGCATTTCATAATTTCTGGGCAGTCAGTACAGTTTTGGTAGAATTCGGCAATATTACTCCTGTCATCTTCAAACAACTCAGATATATACAGCTGCCATTCTTTTCTTATTTCGCGATCATTTACAATAATTTTCTTATTATTGCCAACGAGTACAGAGGAAATTCGTTTTTTTAAATATGTTACTCATTTCTTTTTGTTTTTTGTCCACATTAAATAAGTCCTGTTTAGATATTACATCCCCCGCGCCTCTTCTTTCATACATTTTTCTTTGGCTAATTTGATCTCCTTACCGGCTATTGTACCACTTTTTATTTACCCTGGAAATTGCTAAAAATACCAAAACTCTGATATATGAACTCGATACAGCATTGAAATAAACGGTACACACAAACAAATAAAATTATTGGAAATATTCATTTTATTGTACAAACGTTAAAATCATTTACATTGTTATTTTTCCTACACTAAACAACATTTATGCTATTAACTAAGGTAGAATTTTTATTATAAATAGTGATAGTGCCATCCACTTAATAGCTTGAAAAGGTACTTTCTTTTGTATAATAGCCATTAATTGGTTTTTAACCAAATCATGTAGTTTAGTCTGATTATTAATGTTTTATTAAAATTTGAAACAGTTTAACCTGGCTCCTTCGCCAATCTCTAAAAAAAATTCGAGCGCATCCACCAAATTTTAAATCAATATTTAAAGCATAGAAAATTTTAAAGACACGAAAACCAATACAACAGAAAGAACGTTAAGAGCGTAGGCGCAAAATTTCCGGCCAATGCTTTTTAAATGCATTCATTTTTTTTTGAATCCTGAGAAAACTAATAAATATTTTTAAAAAATTTAAACGCAGAATGAAAGATTGCATTGTTACCGATGGCCGAAAGTCCCTTAGAATAGACAAAAAGATTTTTTGAATGAGATATTTGAAATTAAAAATCACAGGTAATTTTCTCATTTTTTTCACCCCTTTAACTTATTCAAATAAACATTATATAAGTTTTCAGGGACTTTCGACCCTCAGTAATAATGTAATCTTTTATTCTGCGATTAAATTTTTTTAAAATATTTACTAGTTTTCTCAGGATTCGAAAAAAAACGAATGCATTTAAATAGCATTGGCCCAAAATTTTGCGCCTACGCTTTTAAATACAAATAAAAAATAAAAAGATTATCTGAAAAACTTATTATTTTATTGTACACACCTTAAAATCATTTATTTGTTATTTTACTACAAACTTACTTTGTTAATTTTAATACAAAAATTATAATATTCACTACCTACATGTATTATTTATGAAGACAATGATCAGTATTTAATAACTTGTAAAAAATTTTATTTCGACAGTGAAAGATATTTTTAGAATAAACGTCATTGTAAATCCAGTTGTACTTTGTATTCGTTTATCTTTCTGACCATTTCTGAAATTTTCTTCGTCCTGAAACATACATTTAAAATAAATAAATATCATAAATATAAATGGCGAAAAATAAACTTTAAAATAATAAGAGACATTGCCGACAATGTTGCGCCGTCTATCGATTTTTCCTGAAAGTCCGGTTTTGTGGAGATAATAAATAATGTTTTATTATAACATCCTCATTATTATAACATTTTAACATCAATTTTGTTTGTGTTCATTAGGTATTATTTGAATTATCAAATTTATACTTAACTACATTTATTATTCTAAATATTGTTTATAATTTCAAATTAAAAAGAGTGTATTATTATTTTATTTTGGAAATTCCTTTTTATTTTTATTTTTAGAAATCTACTTTTTTTTCAAGCCGTTTTGGCAATAAAACATAACCTTTTTTTTTAGTTAAATAATATTTTTAATTCCATATCTACATTTATAAATACGTACGTTTTCAGCGAATTGACATGCACTCTAGCCGTGTTCCGTTTTTACACTTACACTGGCAGCATCGCGGCATGAATTCAGACTCCAGTCGAACAAATGAATTAATTATAAAACATCGCGACGTTGTATTGAAATTTACACTGGTTAATTGCAAATCAGAGGATCTGAGTTATTGTATTAGAAATCCTATGTTCCGTTAAAATTTTTAAAAAATCTGTATACGATTGTCCAGTTTGACTATTATATCTAACGATTCATGATCAATCAGCTTTATTTACTGGTTACTGTAATGTTATTACAATTTTTCGTTTTTAGTGAAATTTTCATACTAAATTCCTTGGATGTGGTAAATTGGTGTAGCGTTTGCTGTAGATCATCTCAATTCAGCATAATTCTTTTGTTTTTACTTGTTTTACAACCAAATAAATATAATAATATTATTATACTTACGTGTCCGTTAGATTAGTTTTGATAGTAGATGTATGCTTTTCGTTAATAGTTCCAACCTTTTTAACTTCCTGGGATTTCCAGTTTTCCATCTAAAATAAGGAAAAGGATTAGTTACCAGATCAAATCAAATTAATCTTGCTGCTTGCTGGCCTTAATCAAAAGTAATCTTGGTGGAGTTTAATAAAAAGTGATGGACGAATGGATGAAAGAATAGCTTATCAGCTATTATATTCCCATTTTAATCTTCAATTTTGTTGGTTTTTGTATTTTATGAATCCATACATAAATCAGTTAACATCTCATTTTTTAATAATTAATAACTTAACATTTTACACATAAAATTTCTCAGGTACCAAATGTTGATTTTTTATTACTATAATCTTGCCTAAAAATCTTATCCAACTACAAGGAATCATACCCTGATCTCTTATCTAACTTTTTACCAATATGCCCAGTTTATTTAAACAAAGTTTAATCAATCATACAATATACCTTACATTCATTTGATACAACATTACACTAACATCACCACCATCCATATATTCATCCATACATACGTCCATATAAAATTACAACTAGTTCTTAAGTAAAAAAGTCTGTTTTATTCATCAATTTTGTTTGTTTTCTATATTTATAAATCAATGCATAAATCTGTTTACACCTTAGTATGTATCAATGTTTGCCTACCTTTAATTCTAATATCTATTAATTTCATCTGATCAAAACAATTTTACAATTGTTACAGTTTTACAATTATTACTAATATTTACCTACAGGGGAGAATACATTTTAACCCAACCTATGCATGTTGGATACTGTTTCATGTAAGTTTTCAACATATTCAAGTATGCAAACTGTTGGCTCGAGTCACATTAAGACAAATACTTTTGGTTACATTGACTGTTTGTTCATTAATTCTTTCTACAATATCATTTTGATTAGTTGCTATCTAAAGTTCGTTTAGAGACTACTCTCTAGACCAGTGACCAGTTGTCTTCCAACCTTTGTTGGAAATTTATGTTGCCATAAAGTGAATCTACTTAAAAATTTTAACATTCTACATATTTATTAGCAACTGGATGAAACTTGATATGCACTTCGCGTGTGCCGCTGGTAAATAATCAAACTCCGTGTGAAAAAACTGACTTTATTGAATTAACAATACATAAATAAAACGCTAATAAGTATTGTTTCGCTCGCTGGTGTCCACCGGCCTCGACTTCTCATATTTGAATGATGCTGTCGCCCTTGGAGTGCTTTTAGGGGCTCGTCTTATCTTCACATATGGCATAATATATCTTCCTACGCTACTATGTTGCCGGATTGTAAAATGCATAAAAAACTTAAATTAGATAGAGGCGTGAACAGCAACCATGTAATCTAATGCCGATTAAATAATATTTAAAGGGTTTCACCCATATATTTAGTAGTTCTTAATACGTACAAATCTAGTCAGTATTAAACTACATTTACTTTAGCGTTTTCAAAATTTAACTTCACGTTTTTCTTAATTAAAGTGGTTATACTTATTTTAGGTAGCAGCACTAAACATGGAATATTGATTTCGAAAACGTTCTGTGATTTAGCCCGAAAGACTTTTTAAATAAACATAAGTACTTTTTATAAAGGATTTTTTAGTAAACAATTTTTGAATGGCGTTTGGTATAAAGTTCCCACAACGAGGTGCCAGAGTCAAAAAGTGTCTCGCTTGATGCAAGAACACGAAAAAGAAGAACAAGACAAGGAAGAAGAAGCAAGCGAGGGTACATTGAGAAAAAAAAGGTGTCGCAAATTTTTTAGATTTGGTTGTAGCCAATACTCAAGTATTATTCTTTCTTAAAATTAAGACGTCTTTGGAAATGCTCCGAAATACTTCTTACCTGTATTTGTTGATACTTCATTTTGTTCTTTACTTTATCGATCCTGTCATGATACATTGCGATTTTACGACTGCAGTCGTCCAGCTCTTTAATGAATTCCTGTTCTGCAGCTGAAGGTGAACTTCTTCTCCGTGAAACTAACATCAACAAATTTTCGGACCTGCAAATAAAAAAAAAGTAACTTAGTATATGTGTTAGAGAAACATATACATGCATATTCACATGTATACATCAGGTATACTGAACGGCAGTGTAATACGACAGCGGTGTTTGCCATCGTAGATTATCTTATTCATTCGGATGGGCAATAACAAGAGTTACCAAGCCGATTACAAGCAACTTCCGTTACAAACTTTGATGTCGTTTTGCTTTTTCCATTTCGTAAAAAGCAAAGATGAAATTACACATAAATATGCTTACAAACTTATTTGAAAACATTCACACACATTCATAAAATTCACACATATACTTCTTCGCTGAGGATTCGTTTGTAGGTGATTGCAACCCTATCAATACACCTCTTAGTTAAGGAGAGTTTCAAGAAGCAATTAATAGCATAAAAGACACTTCACCAGGTCCAGAGGACATACCAAATTAATTTATTAAAAAACTGCCCACAGAAGCAAAAGTGTCTACTCCAAATTTTTAATATCATTTCTAAAAATCTGGAAAAATTACATTGTTATTCCTATTATTAAACCAAATAAAAATAAATTAAAACCAGAATCATATCCACCTATATTATTAACATGTTTTGTATAAATCCTTATGGAAAAAATAGTCAACGAAGATTAATATGGAACCTAGAACACAATGATCAACTGACCATCGAATAAGCTGTCTTTAGACCACGCAGATCTGCAAGCGCCAACATTCTATATCTGGAAAACGCAACTCACGAAGCTTTTAAAAATAATCAAAAATGTATGGCAATTTACTTTGACATGACTAAAGCATTTGATACAGTATGGAAACACCGTATATTGAACATTCTAAAAAATTTGAATATCAAGGAAATATTTAGTCTACATAAACAATCTTTTAACTCAAAGAACAATTTAAGTCCGAGTGTATGGTGCTATATCCTACCTTAGAGAATAACAAAACGGAATTTCACAGGGATCGATTATCTGTCCTACTCTAATTTTAATAGCAATAAACGATATAATAAAAATCATTGCAAAACCTGTTCAGGCAAGCCTATATGCTAATGATGTAATTATTCACATCAAAGGCAAGAACGGTAATCGTATTGCGTCAATATTACAAAAACACTTAAATAAACTAGTAAATTGATCTCTAAGTACAGGTTTTAGTTTTTGGTCTTATAAAACAAAATGTATAATATTTTCAATAAGACAGATCGAGGATAAACCAAACCTTGAAAACCAAAATCTTTTCTATACAAACGAAAAAATATTTCTAGGAGTGATATTTGATCAACAGTTAAATTGGAAAAGTCATATTCAGCAGTTAGTTCTTTCATGTCGAAATGACCTTAACTTGTTAGAAGTACCTAGCTCACAAAACTTGTAGTGTCAATGCTCTGCAATGGTAAAACACTGCTCATGTTATACATCTTGCATTCATTCCAAAATTGATTACAGATGTGTTGCATATGCCTCTGCCAGCACAACAAGTTAAAACCTTTGGATATGTTACATAACACCTCCCTAAGGATTATACTTGAAGCGTACAGAACAACTCCGATAAATAGCATACAAGCTAAAATAGGTAAACCATATGCTAAAGCTTCATAGATAGCTATTAACTCCTAATTACACTGATAGCCTAACTGTAAATAAAAGAATTCCAATAAATAACATTTTAGACATATCCATGGCTAATGACTCTTCAAAGTTCAATCCCCCATATTCTCGCAGAATTCATAATGAAATGAACCTACTTTACTAGAAGCAATTTCCACCCTTATATAAAAACAAAAATATATCACATCATGACGGTACCAGATTTTGGTTCGATACAGAGCAGCGACAAGCCGCTTATACGTATTTCGACCTCTTTAGGTCTCCTCAGATCCTCAGACAAAATCTATTCCCGTCGTAGACAATAGTTATCAAAATAACTATATACAGACGTAACTACGCCCTCTAAGAACAAAAAGAGAAATCAAATGATTTCTACCTGGCGAAATCGAATTTAAATCTTAACCACTGTGCTTTCTAAAACTTGCAAAGCAAACAGCTTGATAAATTACTCGGCAAGGCAATCTAAGATTGCATTCCACATGCCGTTCATCATGGTCAAAATTCGTAGTGAATTCAATTTCTGGTACTCCAAACGGAGTAAAGAAATAAAACATAATGACGGTAATAGATTTTGGTTCGATACAGAGCAGCGACAAGCTGCTTATACGTATTTCGACTTCTTTAGGTCTTTTCAGAGCGGTATAGCCACTACTCCATATCGAACCAACATCTAGTACCGTCATTATGTTTTATTTCTTTACTTACTCCATTTGGAGTACCAGAAATTGAATTCACTACGAATTTTGACCATGATAAATGGCATGTGGAATGCAATCTTAGATTCCCTTGCCGAGTAATTTATCAAGCTGTTTGCTTTGCAAGATTTAGAAAGCACATTGGTTAAGATTTAAATTCGATTTCGCCAGGTAGAAATCGCTTGATTTCTCTTTTTGTTACAAAAACATATCTTTATCTCCACCTTGGATTATGAAAATTCCAACAGTCAATTGCAGTCTATAACAATTCCAAAAAAATAGCACCAACCCTAATCTTATCATACAACACTTCAGAGATCTAATTAATTCCCATTCCGATTACACATTATGCTATACAGACGCATCTAAAACTAAAAATGAAGTCGGAGTGGCAATAATTAACAGTGCAGGGATTCTCATACATATAATTCCAGATATTGCAACTATATTATCAAGATAACTCTATGCAATTTACCAAGCGATACTGGACGCAGATGCAAATAAGATAAACAAAATATTAATCGTGATAGACTCTATATCATCACTACACATAATAAACACATAATAAGGAAAACACACGCAGCACTCATTAACTTTACTAATAAAGGAAGAACTACATACATTGCATACTAAAAATACAAATATCAAGTTTCTCTGGGCCCATTACATGTTGGAATAGCAGGTAATGAAGCAGCAGACAGAAATGCAAAAGAAGCTATAAACGATAACAGTATCCCCATATCACCACTATCTGTAAGAGTGGATCTAAAAAACTGGATCATCAAACTGGAACAATAAATGGACATCCACACTATTAAAGCTTCAGGAGATAAAAAATAAGATTGGAACATGTCAACCATGCGAGATATCCAGACCAAAACAAATAAGTATTTCCCGTTTATGACTTAGACATAGCCAGTTTTCTCATGAACATCTGTTTAAAAAAGAACGCCCAATTTGTGATGAGTGTGATTCACCCCTTACAGTAACACATGTGCTAGTGAAAAAGTGCGAAAAGTTCAATCGTTACGGAATTAAACACCATTTACCAAACAATCTCAAAGACACTTTAAATTCAAAAAACCCTATAGATAATGTACTTTTGTTTTTAAAAGAGTTTAATTTACTAAGCAAAGTGTAATTAATTGTTACCGTTCCGCTAATAATCTTATTACATTAAAGCGGGTTTTTATTGTAAAAAAAAAGATAAATAATAACAAAAATCTCACAAGAAAAACGCTTCAGAACCATATTAAAAATCACAGAGATCATAGAAGAACGAAACACACTAATAGATGAAATAAAAGACAAAAATTTAATCTGGTTTGGCCATGTTCAAAAAATTGCATTAAAATCCTTCCAAAAAATTATAATATGGAAATCAGGTCGAAAAAAAATGCAGAAGATCCTAATGAAGTTGAAGATGCGGAACAGACGAAGATTTAAGAGAACAATGCATAGATGAAGACGACTGGAATGATAGAGACGACCAGTAATTTTTTATAGATATACTTACTTCTTTAAAAGCTCATCTTGCTTATCTTTAATATCTTCGTACTTCTCCGCTAAATTACTCGCTTTATCTCGAAGCATGTCTCTTTCAAGTTTCATATTTTCAATTTCGTTTTGTTGGTTCCTTTTCATAATGGTTAACGTCTTGATTCGCTTCTCTAAGGCGTCCTTTACTTTGATGTGGTTCTTGAAATATTCATCTCTAAAACATTGGGCTGTTCTTTGAAGAAGCTAAAATTAATAAACATGTAAATTAAACAAAAGCACTTATATTGGACTATACTATAATATAAAATTGTTATATTATAGTATAGTCGACTGTTTCTGTAACGTCTGGATTCTTCGGTATATATTTAGGAAGACAGTGCGCAGACATATGTCGACACAAGCTAAATTTTCAAATAGTACTTTTAGAACTTAGTACTACTAGAATTATGTATAAAGTATTATAAGAAGGACATCTACACGAAAACTACAAATGACGCAACATGGAATGGAAAGATCACTGTTAAGCATACCGTTGCGAGATAGGGTAAGAAACGAAGAAATCCCTAGAAAAAGTGGTGTAGAAGACATTATATAACACATAGCCAAAATTAAATGAAGGTGGGCAGGACACGCCGCTAGAATGAGGGATAATAGCTGGACCAAATAAATCTTGGAGTGGAGACCGAGAGCGGATAGACGAAACCCGGGAAGCCAACCCACAAGATGGACTGACGACATAACAAGGATTTGTACTAACTGGATTGCAGCAGCGCAAGATAGATCTAAATGGAGGTTTTTCGAGGAGGCCTATGTTCAGCAGTGGACGACTATGGGCTGATGATGATGATTATAAGAAACTGATACTTACTTCATAACATTCTTCTTGAGTTCCCTCTTTTGGTTGTTGCAATTTCAAAACAGGATGTGTAGACGTCTTCTTTAATATTGACTCTATATATTGTGTGAATGGTTCTTGCAGCATCTAAAAATAAAATTTTTATATTATAGGTACAAATTTTTATATTGAACCTTGGGTATATTTCTATGAGACGGAAACAAAGCAGCAATTAATGGAATTGATACACTCAGCTTCTGCAAGGCTGAAAAAAGCTATTGTTTACAAATCTGCTGGAGACGTTCTTGGTTATTTTACGAGGCAAAAATTATACAGAGAAGATGTGAATACACACATTAAAAATGTTCAAGGAACACAAAGTTTTTGTCATATATACATCAATTTTAATTGGACTTTAAAAAATTTCTGGATTAGTCAGCTATGAATTCATTAAAATTTCAGTGTAATATAATTTCTGTAGGTTGAAATAATCAAGCAAGCCTTAATTTAATGAAAATTTTTAACATAAAAGTCAATATAAATAAAATCCATTCCTGTGTAAGAAGATCTTAAAGACCTTGTCTAATATGAACATTGTGCAGATGAGGAGCAATCCACCTCTGAAGCATATCCCATACATACTCGTTGAGATTAAGATCTGGAAATTAAGCTGGCCACGGTAAAAGTGTAATATGCTCACTATGAAATCAATCTCTTACTGTTGCTGCAGTATGTGGCCTTGCATTATCCTGCATGTAACGCAAATCAGCACCGGCAGTTGTGGCAATGAAAGGACAACAGGTTCTAAGATGTGATCAATACATGGATATTGATTTAATGTGCCTTACGCAAAACGGTAACAGTTCATTTTCAAATACAGATACCACTATTGTGTGTTAGGGGTCTACTTTATTTCAAAACAATGAAAAGACCCTTTTAATACGTTTGCAAATCATTTAAACTACTTCCATGGTGGAGAACAGAAGAGATGGAAGTAATATATATCATGGAGTTTATTTTAACGTTCGTACTACACCATAGATATGTTGTGTGTACTTAGGCTAATATATATGCTGCACAGTTTTTTTTAACTGTACACACAGTATATTATAACAGAGAATTATAACAAATTACTATAAATATAATATAAAACATACCTTTTTTAACGGAGACACTACAGTATCGTCCGAGATCTTCAAATCTTCTATGTTCGGTAAATTGGTGCTCAATAGTATTCCAAGGGTGACCAATCTCCCATCACCGAGCAGAGTAATAATCGATGTAGGTTCATAGTATAAAGCAAAACCTATAACTGGTATGCTCTCGACGGATGAAGCCTTTTTTGTACATACCAAATACTCAGCCTTACTGGGTTCGATGAATATATCGGATGTTGGATCGACAGCTACAACAATAAAAAATAAATTAATACGTGACTAAAAAATGGGTAGATTTTGAACTGTTAAAATAGCAAAAACCCACTTCCATTCCAGTAGAAACAATGAACTTAATTTTTCATAAACTTTAATACGTATAAATGCCCCTCACTTATATAAATACTTTAATACTAGTACCTTCTGGTGCATTTATAAACTGCTGCAAACCATCAATACAAGAAATGACGACAGAATGTATTCCACCACCGTGGATAGCGTAATATCTTTCAGGTCTCACTTCGTCCTTTTTCAGTTGTACTGCACATTTGGAATTGTTTCCCTGATCTTCCTCACACGTCGTTAGTCCTAGTTCCAATTGTACTTTTTCAAAGACGAATAATTCGTGTTCGGAAACGGCGCCAGGATAGTTCCTAGATCCAGACTAAAATAAAATATTGTTTAACATAGTGCTTAAAATAATGAAAACACCAAGATGTTTGACAAAAAATCTTAAAATTCAAATATTCACCTTTGATGATTCAACCTCTGAACACACTACATGTAGTAAAGAACCATCACATAAAGATATGCACATTATTTGAGGAAGAGTGTTTAAACAGATTATGGAACATGCATCGATTTGCTCTTCTGCCGTGTATGACATAGCTAGAGGTGCACCAATTATCGGCTTCCATCTAAAACAAAAAATAATCAATATTAATTATATCATATTAACTCAATATAAATAAAAAAAGTTTTTTTTAAGAATATTTGAATCTATCCACCATCTATTTTAGGCAAAGGACTACGAACTGTTATAGAAGGCCTGAACTAGACGTCCGAAAAATTGAACCACCATTTCTCATAAGTTAGCTTGGTAGTAATTACGAAATTTCTACAATAGTTTAATTAACTATCCTGATTATTTAACAATAAATCAATCTACAGAAACCTTCTTTGACAGGGTTTGGCAGGAAAGTATGAGTTACAAAATATGTACATTGGTTTTTGAAAGGGTATGTTAAGTTTAATTTCCTCGTATCTGGCTAAGTATGTTTTCAGGTCTGGATTGAATATATCCTGGAGTATGGAGTATTATGTATATGTTTGATCGAAAATTCAAAAATACCCAATAAATTTTAATCATAAAAAAGGGAGTCCACATATAAACATGATGTGGATCTCAGCGCTAAGAAATACAAAAACTAGTCCAGACATCGAAAATTCCAACATCGATTCGGACCAATCGACATATCCGGTGATAAACATCAAGGGTATAAATAGAAACACGCGATTAAGGGTGAAGGAGACTTTCGTAAGGTTTGAGAAGGAAGCAGAGAAGATGGGGCTCCAAATCAACGAAAACAAGACGAAATATATGTATATGAGCCGCAATAACCAAAGCAGAGACAGAATCGGTCAGAACATTACCATCGATGACTTTAACTTTGAGCGCGTTAGAGAATTCAAGTATCTTGGAACAACAATAACTGAAGACAGTAACGGATCACAAGAAATAAACAACAGGATTCAGGCCGGCAACAGATGTATTTTTGCCTTCCAAAACCTTATAAAATCAAAACAACTAACACGACGTACGAAGATACAGGTCTATAAAACAATCATACGACCCGTTGTGATGTATGGAAGCGAAACGTGGACGATAACAAAGGCAAATGAAGAGAGACTACGTGTTTGGGAAAGAAAAATCCTAAGGAAGATCTTTGGTCCGGTGCTTGATGAAGCATCAGGACAATATAGGATAAGAACTGATAAAGAGCTTGAAGAACTTTACCCAGACGCCAACATCATAAAAGAAATAAAGTCCAGAAGACTCCAATGGGCAGGACACCTCAGAAGACATTCTGACGAACGAACAGTAAGACTGGTGTGGGAGGAAGTCCCAACTGGAAGGAGACCACGCGGACGCCCTCGTCTCCGGTGGCGAGATAATATAGCAGGAGACCTAAGCACTATGGGCGTGGAGAATTGGATGGAGGTTGCTCAAGACAGAAAACAGTGGAGGCATGTTGTCGAGTCGGCTAAAACCCACGAAGGGTTGTAACGCCACGGAGTAAGTAAGTAAGTAAGTATAAATAGTGTAAATAGTCGAGTGAAAGTTAGACAACTGAGCACACATAAAACACATATGATTACACGCAATTGAAACATAGCAGGAGCTATAGTAGCGCTTAAGCCGCGTTTTCACGATGACAATTGGCGAGACAATTGCCATTGGACAATTGTCATCACGTGGTTGCGGATTGTCGGAGGCCAGTCCAGTTGAACGAGAAGATGTTTATACGGGGCCAACTATTGTCATGCCAGTAGACAGCTAAAAATAACACAAACCACGTGTATGTTTTGACTGACACCAGAGCACTAGCAGTGTTGCCAGACAAATTTTTGTAAATGTAGTAGAATAGTGACACAAAATGTACCAAATCAACACATTTTGTACCAAAAATTTAAAAAACATTGTTTGTTTTTATTTAAAGCAAATTTAGTATATTACAGAGTTTTAGGTATTTATAGAAGTAAATACCTAAAACATTAGACATAATTTTGGATTGCATAGATACAGATGTATAATCAAGGTGGTTTAGGTGGCAACATTTTAAAAATGTACCAAAAATGATTATATTGTACTTTTGTACAAATATTGGCTAATTGTATCAAATTGGTACAATTGTACCAACTTGGCAATAATGGAGGGAACTGGCAAAAAACAAGACAACACTACTGGCCTACACCGTTCACACGGCGTCAATTGTCGTGACAATTGAGATTTCGAGTGATGGGGGACTCACTGGGCGCAGCTCATTGTCCTCAGTCTACTCCCGGAGACAACTGAATTTTGGGCCAATTGTGAGGGCAGTTGGCAAGGCAATTGACCTGAAGTGTTTAGACGAAGACAATAATTTCATACCAGTAATTGTCTTCTGACAATTGTCACGCCAATTGTCGTCGTGAAAACGCGGCTTTAATGCTACTTCGAAAATTAAGAGGCTCAACCGCTATTGTAGACAAAACGCAGGACAAAATAACTCTAGATCACAACCTGTAAATCATAATACAATGTTCCACTACTAGATAAGTGACATACACTCAGCCCTTACTAGGCTCATCTATCTGTGATAGAAAGTTTAAATGTTGGCCCGCATAGGATTTATGCCTAAATGAAAGAAACAAAAACATTTCAACGAGTTGAAATACAGTGGTGGCATAACCTTATTCATATTATATAGAATCTTAGGGCGCTAATAAACAGGTGCAGGATCCGATACGAGAGCTGCGCACCTGAGAGAAAGTAACAAAAAGAAAAAAATGCATTTCAACTGATGTAATAGACGAGTAGATGAATGCGAGCCAATCACTTGTGTAATACCTCAAATTGAAATAAATGATAAAGTTTACTCCATAGAAAACGGTCTCGAACTGTATACTCTTTATAGGCCCCTTACAAGGCAAAATTTTAAATATTATGTATGATATACAAACATTAAATGTTAAAACTATGGTATATAAGAAGGAGAAGAGAGAGACAAATCAATTAGACAGTGGTGATTTCTACCAACCTTATTGAGTAATACTCACCTCAGTTTTAAATCAAATGACACTTTATAGATAGACAAGTCGCTCCTTAAAATAAAAATAGGCCAAACAACTGCATCATTTTCTTGCTTGTCTTTCTTCTTCTCTGTTTTCATATTTGCCACAATTTTATTTGGCGTTTGTGTTTCTGTATTAACCAGACGTGTCTGACCTAAAAAACATAAATTTTCGATAAAATATATTAAGAAAAAAGTGGGTGTTCTTCATACAAAACTCTTGAAAAAAAAATTGTACACCACTAAACAAATAAACTGATATAAGGTAGTATTGAAGAGGTATCCATAGCAAATTAAGCGAGAACCAGCTTCATTTATTTATTTATTATGTACTTATTAACCTCAAATTGGACATCACGTGTTTATATATCGAAAAGGCAAGTATTTGGAAAGTTTAAAAAGGCTACGTCTATATGTAGTTAGCTAGCTATTATAGTGAGTGATCTATTTAATGAAAATTCAATACGGTTCCTTCTTGTACCAAGTTTCAAGATTCTAGATCTTTACCTGTAAAAGTTATTGTATATATAGATAGACAGACTGACAACTGAACTAAATTATAATGAAAAGACAAAGTTCAATGACATATTTTTATGACCGATATTTTTAATGACATAAATGAACTGCCCAATAATCTTACTGTGGTCGAGATAAAGTGCCAATTTTTTATTAAAAAAATGTGTCTGTACCCTGAGTAATACCATTTGTTTTATTGTTTAATAGATCTCTGGGAACCTCTGTATTTCCTTCTTCATGGAAAGAAAGCTATGTTGTTCCTATCGTTAAAAATGGTCAGAAAGACCATATTGAAAAATATCGTAGCATTTATATACACTCTGCAATCTCTAAGCTCTTCGACAGTCTTATAGTCCTATAATATGTAAAGGCTCAATATCTCAATCACAACATGGTTTTCACAGCAAAAAATCCACTGCAACAAACTTGGTTTGCTATGGATCTGATATATTATCTCATATGGAAGATCGTAAACAGGTAGATGCAATATACACAGATTTTTCCAAAGCATTTGATCGTGTAGATCACCAAATACTTTTGGGGTAATTAATTAATATAGGCTTTTTTCTTGCCAGGTTTGTTGAACGGATTAAAAACTCTACATCAGGGAGAAGTCAAAGAGTCAAGATAGGTTGTCATCTGTCTGACACTACTACAGTAACATCTGGAGTTCCTCAATGAGGCCACACTTCACCACTTCTTTTTAATATCTACGTTAACGACAACACTTCCTGTTTCCTAAATAGCAAATATCTAATGTTGGCAGATGACTTGAAATTTTGGAAAGTTAGAGGTAGTTTAAAAGATCAAGCCCTGCTACAAGATGACTTAGCCCAACTACAAAATTGGTGCAATCAGAACAAACTCCATTTAAATGTAAAAAATGCTGTTTTATAAGTTGTTCTAGTAAAGTCAATAGCATTGGAATAAGCTATACTATTAATAATCAGCCACTAAATTATGTTTCTTCTATTCGGGATTTGGATGTTATTTTCGATGAGAAGCTTACTTTCTTGACCACATAAACTCTATTTCAATAAAGTTCTAACTATTTTCAATAAAATAGTTAGAACTATTTTGGAATACTGTTCAGTTATTCGGTGACTCTATTTTCAGAATAATGTTAATACCATAGAAAGAGTCCAGCATGAAATCTGTTAAGCCAGATTAACTTCAATGTTTCCCATCAAGATCTACGTTAAACAATGTTTTCAATATTCCTTTCCACAACACAACCTATGGTATTCACAACCCAATGGATAGATACATGGGGTTATTAAATGTTTGCGATTTTAATATTTTCAATATAACTTTAACTCAGTTAAAAATATCTCTTGTTTTGTGATATGTATATTGGTATTGTTGAATTTTGTTCTTGCTATATTTTTAATATGTAAGATTTTTAGTCTCATTTTTTAAACTTTTTGAAATTGATTTTATATTATAAGTAATTTCAAGTTGTGAATCCTAACTGTGATATTGTATATTATAGTTTTAAACTGTTAATGGGATTATCCCGTGTATTAAATAAAAAAATAAAATATAAATAAATAAATTCATTTGCTCTAATTCAATATTATTCACAACCATACGACAGCATTAAAAGGGATCAGATGTAGAATGCAATGGCAGAACTTTCAGTTCCAAAAAAACTTACCCAGCTCGTTAAAGTTTGTGTAAATGGCTGTAGATCTAGAGTGCGGATAGGTAACAAGCTCTTCAAACGACTCTCAGAATCGTTTAAAATAAACAGTGGACTGAAACAAGGAGACGCGCTGTCACCCCTTCTTTTTAATATAATTCTGGAAAAAGTAGTAAGAACCGCACAAATTAGAACAAAACTACTGACAGTAAATGGACCAAAATTACTACTAGCATACGCGGATGACATTGACATTGTAGGGAATACCGTCATAAATTAGAGAGAGAGAGAGAGAGAGAGAGAGAGAGATGATGATGCTTTTTCAGAATACGAAAAAAGCGAAACGTCTTCAAAATAGATAAAGTAGCCTATCAACTTTGTCTTTTATTTCTCCACCTTGAGACCGATATAAGAACCAACCACTCGTCTGAGTGATCCTTATTTATATTGGATTGACGGTCGTACTCCTTTTCCGATGATATATATATATATATATATATATATATATATATATATATATATATATATATATATATATTGGATTTGAAATTTTCGCGGGAGCTATATGTGATTTCAGATGTTTTCCGGGTTTGACTCCGCGTTAAATAGTTTTGGTTTTTAGAAAAACCATTGTTTTGACGACGTTTCGGCAAGGTCACACTTGCCATTGTCAAGTCAGATTAGTTCTGCTTTATGTTGATGTTTCAGGAGAACTGAACGAAGCAGAATTTATCTGACTTGACAATGGCAAGTGTGACCTTGCCGAAACGTTGTCAAAACAATGGATTTCTAAAAACCATAAAAACATATATATATATATATATATATATATATATATATATATATATATATATATATATATATAAACTATTTAACGCGGAGTCAAACCCGGAAAACAACTGAAATCACATATAGCTCCCGCGGAAATTTCAAATCCAATATATATATATATATATATATATATATATATATATATATATATATATATATATATTATATTTATTATTTATTTGTGTACCACATGCAGCAACTAAAAGTTATTCGTAAACTATTTCGTAAGGTTTTATTATGCAACAATTAGATTTTGCAATTAATTGTATATTTTACTATCTTTTATTTTGTGATATTGACGATTTTTGTAATTTTAGTAAATTTTAATTGTCATTGTTGTTTTTTTTTTACTTTTTGTAAGCATTGTATAATTTTCAGTGACAATAAAGCATATTTCTATTTTAGAACCCTACCCGTTCCATAAGGTTTAATGTGTTTTATATATTGTTGTATATGTTTTGTTAAACAATGGTTTATGGTTTTTTTACGTTTATTAATATTTTCTTAAATACATATTCCTGAATTTTTATCTTTCTTCTGTCTACTGCTATGTCTAACGTGACATACTAATGTTGCCAACTAACAATTAAGCTGGAGTTATACACCATATTTGACTATATTTTTTCAACTTATCACTCACTGGATAAGAGCAGAACATACTCAATACCCTGAACAGGTTAATGTTTGGGGAAGAATTTTTTAAACTTTTTATTGCTTGTGTGATATTTTAGTTTAAATAAAATATTATATAAAGTACTTTACGATTTTATTTACTCCATCTTTATTCTTTTGTGTAAATTAATTTTTATAAATATATTTCTATACACTGAAAATTAACATTATTCACCGTTTGTTGTTTCTCACTTACTCGAAATATTTCATATGTTTACGATACTAAAAATAAAAGCAAGCAAAAGTAAAAGTCAAACCAATAGTCATTATTTATTCAAGTGAAAAAACTGTTTCAAATAACTTTCAAATATTGGAAGGTACGCCGCTGGCTTAAAAGGATATGTCACAGTCTATCACCTCGTCTCTTTCCCCGCGCCTATAAACTTTTCGACTTCAAATTTAGGTGAACAGAGTGCAGGGCATGCCTAGTCCATCTTTATTTATACGTCCATGGTCAGATTTAAGAACAATGGGGCTACCGACTGACTTAAACATCATGGACGACCGTTCGAGATGGAAGCAGGTTGTGCAGTCAGCCAAGACCCACCCCGGGTTGTAGTGCTACCAGAAGAAAAATATTATTCACTTTATCTAATCAATTGTCGGTCCATATATCTTTGTCAGTATTTTGCGATCAAAAAGACATAATAGCAGTTGGTGTTTCGTGATGATCCAGGTTTTTCAGCTGTATGCTATAACTTGAGTAACGACTAATTATTGTTCTACATTGTCGTATCTACAATCATAGAATCCTTTGTTACCTTCTTGTATTCGTTCCCGTATTTCGCTGCTCATGTAATTGTTATAGTTACAATAGCTGCGATATTTATGCATGCTTCATTGATTACTATCAATAGTTTTATAGTAATCGTATTGTTTCATGCAGCTGCCCATATTTTATGAGTTCCACGATTATATTATCATTCCCGGGTGTTTTGTTGTTTTTAGTAAGTCATTTTCTTTTTTTATTTCGATTAGTGATAACGTTTTTATCCTTTCTTCTGCTCTGTGTTATGTCTTACTTATAATGTTTGCTATCCCTCTTATATTTAAGAGGTACTTAAAATACCCAGGCTCAAATTCGAAAATAACTGATTGAAATAAAAATTGCTGCTTACCTTTAATAAATGATTTTGTTTCATCGCATTTCGCGGGTTTGATAATTTCTTGGATTTCTGGAAGTCCAAAATCGAAGTCTATGGCTACTTCTCCGTATATATCCAAAAAAGTAGTTGTAGTTCCCGGAAATAAAGTCGACGGTTTTTCTCCGACGGAATATACTGCCAGATTGCGAACTTCACCATTCTCGACTTGGTATAACCTAAAAATAATAATAAAATAACACAAAGGCGTTACAGATATGTATTATAAATGTTTTTAAATAGATTATTAAGCTGGTATTTTACTCTTCTACTTCTTCTACTATATTCTTTATTATATTGCTATTTCCTTTTTCTTGGTCGCCTTTTCTATAATCATTCCACACACTACCTCTATACTTTTCTTCTTAAAGAATTAGGAAGGTTTTTGGAAGGCTTTGCAAGGTAGTTATGTGGCAATATTATGGACTTCTATAAAAAGCTTTTCCTATATTCCGAAGTGTTGTCCCATGGATCTGTCCTCCATTTTGTTTCTAGCGGTACTGAATACTATATTTAGATTACGTTATGATAGGCTTGTTTCTATTTTAAAAACCTAAAGGTAATGTATATAACACATAAGCTAACGAAAATTATAAACATTTTAAGGTTTAAAGTTTAAGATACCGTTGTATATACCTATATTCTTCAAGAAATCAGGGAAGTGAAGTATAGATGCAAGTAATATTGGCAACTGAACTGAAACCTGAACCATTTATGAGTATATAACAACTTCGAACTATAAACAGTTAAGTATCTGACTAAGCACAACATAGTAACTTTGGGATGGGTATTGTTGGTAATGAGATTGCTGATAATCTTACTAAAGAAGGAGATAGGATCTTTTTTATCGGACCAGACCCATTCTACGGTATTCTAAGAAGCCGCATCTTGCAAGATGTACGAAAATAGAAAAATTAACGTAGTGCAGCCAAAAAGATTATTAAAATCTTCTTCTCGTTGTGTAACAGTAGTCTTGGAGCTTCATAATATGGAGATTAGGCTGTAGATTTTTTTCTTCCACTCTGTATAACGTTTAAATTTGCGTCTTATAGTGGCTTCCCACGATCGGCGATTCTACAGATCATCACGGACGACAACGCACCGCAGACAGAGCTCTTCCTATGGTCCGTGACAGTATTGTTTGATTATATCATAAAAAGGCCACTCAGGCTTCTTTTTTAATTCTTTAATCGAAATAGTACTATTCTTCAATTGATTTTTTATTAGGTTCCATGCATCGTTCCGGTTCTTATGCTCCGGCGCAGTGGAATTTCATAAAACTTGATTCATTTTGATACAAATTTAAAAAATCAAAATAACTTCGTTTTTCCATTCCATTTTTTAGCAAAAAACCTAAAACTGCAAAAACAACTTTGACAACACTACAGACAACTACTCGTGTCAGCGAATGAAAAACTTCTGACTTGCAGTTGTCTGTTAAAACACAGACGCGCTAGGATCGCGAGCACAAGTATATACCGCACCTTTGATGCTACCGACTCTAGATGGATAGGACGCACCAGCACGCACGTGCCTGTGCTACCACGGACGAGACCTTTCCCACGGTGCGTGGTGCGGGCTGGTCCGCTTACGTCCGCAATATCGCCGGACCGTGGGAAGCCGCTATTACAAATCTTTGAAAGAGAAACACTCGAATTTTGAACGAAGAAAACATACTCTAAATGTTTATTTATACAGCCATCGCTGTCTTTCTTTCTTAATTCGTTTTTCTCGATAAATCTCATAAGTTCCTATTATAAACACTTTAAGTATTGCATTTCAAATCTTCGAAGATAATAAATATGGCCCAATTAATTATTTATATTGACAAATGCCGCTTGCGAGTCAGTACAACTTGAGATCCAAGGTTACGAGAATTAGCATCGCATCGACGAATTTTTCTGTTTAGCCCTATTTACACAAAGATTACACAAATGTACATCACCTATTGACAATCAATGGTAACGTGATAGAACAAGTAGAAAAATATCAGTACTTGGGAACTTTGATCAATGAAACCAATGATCACACTGTACGACTGATCATCAGACTACGTACCATTCGCTGTTATGTATTACACACGACATATAAACATTATTATATGGAGCTGAGACTTGGACATTAGAAAAATGTAATTTAAAAAGAATCGAGGCTTTCGAACTCTGGTTATACCGCACAGTATTAAAAATATCATGGACTGATAGAATTACAAATAAAGAAATACTGGAGAGGGTTGGTAAAGAAACAGAACTAATCACCACTATACAAACCAGAAAACTGGAATATCTAGGCCACGTGAAGAGGGGACTAAAATATGAAATTTTGAGACTCGTAATACCGGGAAAGATTCAAGGAAGAAGATCTGGTGGCCGAAGGCAGAACTCATGATTAAAGAATCTACGTGATTGGTATCAATGCAGATCGATTGATTTGTTAGAGCAGCAAGTTCGAAAATAAAAATAGCCATTATGATTGCCAACTTCCGTAGGGAGACGGCACTCTAAGAAGAAGAAGACACAAAGAGTACAAATGTGAAAGGGTCGAAAAATTCCGAAACTTGGTTGTTATAACAGATGAAGAAGGAAGGAAAAATATGAGCTGGAAGCAAGAATGACGGAGGAAACAATAAGTATCCTTAACGTGCAAGCTAAGAATATACTAAACAGTGATCAGACTCACGATAATAAAAGAGAGGAGAAAATATTAGAGAGATGGAAAGAAAAATACTGAGATACATCTTTGGCGAGAAGAAAACTGAAGATGGGCGAGGAAAAAGAAACAATAACGAATTAGTGGAGATGTATATATCCATAGGAAGACGAAGAATTTCCTGGATAAGAAATCTAAGAGAGTGGTGCTCAGTAAATCTTTAAGGCAGCCGCCAATAAGGTACGGATAGATGATAGCCAACCTCCGATAGCAGAAGGAACTACAAGAACTAGATGTATAAAGAATCCAGCATCACTTATTTTGTCAAATTACAATGAATCCAATGGTTAGGACATGCAAAAAGAATGCAAAGCGATCGAATGCCCAAACTTCTGCTATAAAAAGATTAAGTGATCCAAGGAGACGATAGATATTATAAAACTAATCACGTTTTGTGAAATAACTATGTATATTATTATATATAGATTAGATATAAATGCATAAATATATTTACTGGAGTTTTCTTCCTCTTCTGACAGACTAGTGAGCGTTCATGTACAACAGTTCATATATTATTTTATATTCAGTCATTTCACTTTACGTTACTTACAATATATTCTCTTTTTTCTTCTTCTTTTTATGTAGACATGACTCATTTTGTTTTTCAATGTGCCTCCATTAAGTTGTCGTTCCATCGTTTTCGTGGTCTTCCTACTGATCCCTTCCTATTGGAGACCTTCTCTGCCGTCTTTATACTCTATTGCTGTCATTCGGCTAATGATGTTTCATCTTCTCTATTCTACCCAGTTCTGATGTTCTCCATCTTGCTCACTCGTATACTGTACTCTAGCTCTGTCCCATAGTGTCTTACCATCAATTGTTCATGCGTTTTCATCTCTGCCATTTCTAACATCCTTCTTGTTCTCTCTGTGTCAAGTCTTGTTTCTCTTGTTTCTGCCGCGTATGTCATTATTGGTCTGTTGACTGTTTTGTAAATTCTGCCTTCCATTTCTTTCCCGATATTTTTGTTTCTCCATATTGTTTCATTCAGGCAGCCTGCGGCTCTGTTTGCTCTATTCACTTGATCTTCCACGTCGATTTCGAGCTTTCCGTAGTTAGATAATCTGATGCCCAGATATTTAAACTCCATCACTTGTTCTATTATCTGATCTGTCAGTCCCAATTTACATCTTAGTAAATTTGCTGTTGTAACCATGCATTTTGTCTTTTTTCGGGAAAACGTTAAATTTTTTACGGTTATATTAAATTGGTGCAGCATACGTTGTAGATGGTCTTCACTTTGAGAAAGTAGTATTGCGTCGTCTGCATAGCAGACTTACAATATATTATATACCTAAAATATAATGATCTTACCTTAGACTATTGTCTGAAGTTAGTGCAACGATGTGACTGTGGTTTGGACTTCCTGGATGAAACTGTAGTTTTCTTAACTTTACCAACTCACTGCATGACAGGAGACGTTCATCCAAACTGTGTGCTCTAAAAAAATAAAAATAACAATAGTAAATATTCAATACAATTAAGACAGTGAAAGAATTTATAATTTAATACATTAATCTAAAACTACCACCACTGTTTTTGAAAAATGCAATGCGCTTTTAAAAGTTTGGAGATATTGTCGCAATAATGCAACATAATTCAGGAAAATTGCATTAGAATATAATGCATGTTATCAGTAATAAAACAAATAAATTTTCGCGATGGTCTTCAATATGAATAAAACGTTCTGAGACCTTATTATAAGGACCTTACATATATAATATTTTTTTAGATTTTTTTCCACATTTTTGTGTGTAATATAACTTTGTATTTCTCGATTTCTTCTGTTATGTCAATTTTCAATCACAAATTAATCCCTTAATTTGTAATCTCACATTATCCATAATTTCTTAATCTTTTATAGTTTCACCGTGTATAATTGAGGTATTGTAAAACTATATCGAATAATATTTTAATAATTAAAGTCACCTGTTAATTAAACACCTGTTAATAAACAGTAGAATAATATATTATTCTAATTGAACTTCCTAAGTGTTGCAATTACGGCCTAAATTAAATTGTATTGTAAGCTCATAGTTAAAAGTTTGTTAGTATGGTAGAAGCAATAACCTCTGTGCCGAGGTATACATTATTTGTGAGATTATAAATTGAGTTTGGGATTTGAGCTCATTTGAGTGTAATCTGTTAATAGATAGTTACCAAACTAACATCTAAAGTGTAATTATTAGTAGCTGTCAATAAAACCAACATTTTTACTTCACAACTTCAACGTTTTATTGTATTTATCATCGTCGATCGAGAAGAAGCGGACAAAGGGGCATTAGAAAACGATTCGATCCTCATATTTACATTCGAATCTGTCCATTGGTCCTTCGACAAAACAACATCAAAAGGGCGTTAATTGGATTGAAGCTTCGAAGGAGACGACCCTTAGCGACCTGAATAGCTGTTTCCCAGTTCCGTACAAGATCGACGATCGAACTGGAAGTGTGGAGAAAAGAAAAAATAAATAAAAAGACCAGAAAGCACCGAAATTAGGGGTAGGAGCCTTATAAGAGCTTTGATCGCCAGAGAACCTGAATAGCAGTCCTTAAGTCGACTGTTCCAGCAGTTTGGAGGTGAAAAATCTAGCAGCATCCAGAGATCCAGCTCACCAGTTCCAGTTGCAGTTCTAAGAAGGGAGCAGGCACATACAAGTGAACGTCGGGATAAAACTGTAAGTTTTTAAATATTTATTATCATTTAGAGCAGTGCATTTTTTTATATAAATTAAAAATATTATTAAAGAAACTTAAGCTTCAAATTTTTAATAACACTTAATTGAAATATTTTTATTCTGCATACCTTTTTACTTAAAATAGTAATATTTTGTCTACAGCTAATTCAAATCTAATATTTTGATTATTTTGATATTAATTATATTCAATAATTTTGATTCTTATAATTTAAAATTCTTGAAAAATTTGATTTTATAATATAGTGAAAAACATTTTTACTCCACAATTTCAACGTTTTATTGTATTTATCATCGTCGATCGAGAAGAAGCAGACAAAGGGGAATTACAAAACGATTCGATTCTCATATCTACATTCGAATCTGTCCAGTCAATAAATCTTTAGTTCTATTCCCCACAGTAGGTTATTTTTTGCCTACTGTATATGTTCTAAATATTTACATCAAACGGCTATATTTTATCTCTTTTCTACACCTGTTGCATACTTTGTTCTAGTGAAATGCACTATCTAGAGATTCATTAGTTTATTATTAGCCACAATATTCAGCACACACTGTATATCTCAGCAAACATTAACACGAGTTAAAGTTTTCGTACTGTTCTTCTTTCATAATGTAAGAGATGAACATTAGAACAATATTATAATCCCAATAACTGCAGTTAGCGTGTTGTAATCCTCCTGAACTTGAACAATTTCCAGGTTCCCAATGAACTTTAACCCTTTTCTCAGACCGTTTTGCATATCGAATGGTGTTTGCTTAAAGACTGGACGATGCTAGGGTGGAATTTTAATCGTTCAGATTTAAACCAATGAAATAGAAAAAATCGTCAGATAAGGTTTTTACTTTTAAGTTGATATTATTGTACAGTTCGTAATAAAATATAAGATACGGTCGAAAGAAGATCAACATATATACTTTATCTTTATAAATTCATATGAGTTATCCCAAAATTCACGAAAAATTTGAATTTGCAGTCAGACTTTGTGCAGTACAGTATCAACAACGACAAACAAAACAGTTTGACAGCTGACAGCTTAGCAAAAATGAAGCGTTACATGAGAGAACAACGAGTTTTCAATGTTAAACAATATTTTAAAAGCAATAATAATAAATAATATTGACTTAACTTCGGTAACTGTGAAGAGACTAAGTGAAAAATTTAGAAAGACTGGATCAATTGCTGACGTTAAACACACTGGTCATCTAAAAACAAACCCCTCAATTATCAATATCGAAGCATTACGTGAGAGTGTTGGTGTATCCAGGAATATCAATTCGGCGTCGTGGTCAAGAATTCCAAATTTCAAGAAGTTTTCTACAGCGCATACTCACTAAAGATCTGCATCTACATGCTTACAAAGTTCAATTGACACAAGAACTGAAGCCTAATGTTCATGTCCCAACCATCATCAATATCTAGGTATCTCTAGACCAATATGTTGGTCGGCTAGTAGATGTTGATTCGTACCTATGTTCGTTGATAGCCACTAGAAGTTCCTCTCCTTTAGTGGTAGTTAGTCTAGTTAAAGCCACAATGAGTATTATTTGCATTAAAGTCTCCTCCTACTATATATCTCTCTCCTAAGGTATTCAAGAACTCGTTACATTGTTCTTTTTAATGGAACGCCTATGCAGCAATATATTGAGCTAACAATGATATTACAGTTTTTAGTTCTTACACGTACCGTAGTCGCTTGTAGATGTGCAGTTTTATACTCTAACTCTTCGTGATGAAATATATTATTTTTAATCACGTTTGCACTACCTCCTTTGGCTGCATTATCAGAGTATATTGTGTGGTACACTTTATATCCTTTAAATTGTCAAATATAGGCAAATGTCAATTTTCTCGATGTCAAGGATCGCCTGTAACTCTTGTTGATGTTGTAGCAACCCATTGGCATTCCATTCAACGATTTATCATTTAACTAGCCACGTGTGATTTTTAGAATAGCACCTTAGCGCTATGTTCCAGGCGAGTAACTCTTATTCAATTTTTTTAGTTCATCTGGTATGAGTTTTAGAATCGAGTATGATTCTTTCTCATTCTGGTTTTCCATTTGTAGATTTACATTGTTGGTTTTTAATGCATCTCTATATTTCTTACTTACAGTAGCTCTCCCTGTTTGTTTCCAATAAGTAGCATGTAATTTAGTTTTAGTTACTTTTATTTATGGAGTATTTTGTAGATTGTCCTTTTTTGTGTTTCTGTTTTTTTATTTTCTGCATCTCTTTTGCGACAACACACTCTGTAGTTTATCAGGATGCTTATCACTAAAATGAAATGTATCTAAAATAAATGAAAGCATTATTGAAATAAAATGTGAATTCAAAAATCTACAATTAAGCTTCCATATTTGATTGATTCTACGTTTATATGACTGATATTGAAAATGGGTCCGCTGCTTTCCGGACTTTTAGGGTCTCTTGTAGTTCTTTTAATGTTATCAGATCGCCTATATAATCTGAGTCTGTTGTTACATTTAAACTTTTAAAATTATTATTGACAGGTTAGAAATTCTATGAATTTTCTAAATCGATGGATTGCAGATGATTCATAGAAGGGCCCGCTCTTTCTCCAACATTAATCCGTTAGATTTTTTTCCTTAAGGTTATCTAAAATCACGTGTTTACATTAGGGCATCAAGATGTTTGCAGGATATGAAACAAAGAATTATTGATGAATGTGAACTCATACGTGGAGAAGTATTGGAAAGAGCAAGAATTAAATACAAGGCTTGCACATTATCAGAAGATGGACGACAACTGTTTTATTATTCTCATTGGTCATAATAAATAAAGTTAACTATTCTTTAACTGTAAAAGGATTTATTTCTCGTTTCAACAAATTTTTCTACAAAACTTGGTATGTGTGAATTAGGAATAACAAGTTCTTTTAATAAAGGAACAGGATACAGAATGGGAAACAAAGAAATAAAAATACTCTGTTGCAGACGATGCAATATTGATAGCCCAAGATGAAGATAGTCTGAAAAGACTGGTCCACAGATTTAACATAAGAGCAAAAGAATTTAATATGAAAATCTCATCTCAGAAAAGTAAAACAATAGTAATCGGCAAAGATCAGTAATGAACAAGTAATGGAAATAAAATACCTTGGAATTACACTGTCCAGCTATTCAGAGATGGACAAAGAAGTGAGGACAAGTACAAAAAGCAAATATACTGCTTGAATGATAGATGCATGAATGATAGATGAAATAGACTGATAGATGAAGTCAAGAATTTATAAAGCCAGTGTAAGACCAATAATGACATATGCCTCAGAAACAAGATCCGACTCAGCCACAACACCAACGCTACTGGAAACGGCAGAGATGAGAGTACTGAGAAGAATTTCAGGAAATACGCTGAGAGATCGAAAGAGAAGTGAAGATATTAGAAGAAAATGTAACGTACAGTGTATAAATGAATGGACACAAAATAGCAAAAAAAATGGAATAACCATATAAGCAGAATGAAGGAGACCTGTATTGTCAAAATAGCAAGAGATGAAACACCAATCGGCAGAAGGATCGGAAGATCGCGCAAAAGATTGAGTGACAACCATCTATAGTGAATCCGCCAATGAACAAACAGAATTGATTATAAAGAGGAAGAAGAAGTTCTCTTAAAATCAGCAAAAATATACAGTGTGTCTCATTTAAATTAAATAAGTTGAGGGTATTTCTGGTGAAACCAAAAGTATAGTAACAAAAAATATGGCGTCATATGCGTTATGTGTCATTGTATTTGCATGCAAAGTTTCATAAATAGCGTCTTTTTTCTTTCAAAGATATTTATTTGGTTCCATAGTTTATCCTAACCCTGTATGCAAAGGTTTGCAGGACATATAGAGAAAATGCATGAGTCAAAACAAAAAATTATTGCTGGAACAGGACAATACCCACAATACATTGTAGAGCCAAGGGTGATGAATTGGCTTATGTGGCGCAATCTACAAGTTAACTCAAGTTTAATAATATACTCTCATTTATTATTACTAAGTAATATATAACTTTAAATTTCTGACTACAGATTTACAATTTAGTTCTTTATTAATGACTCCACTCTGTGTATACAACAAATTATTTCTGTATAAACAGACACTTAAGCTAATATAAAGGTTACAGCTCTGAGGTTGTGCACACAAAACTAATATTAAAATCCAGAGATTCCAAATCACGACGCTAAAGACTTAACGCTCCTTGGTAAATAAGAAACTGTCATTTACCGAGATCTAGAGATGGACAGCGTTTACCAGACGATTATCAACTGTAGACATGAACAACGAATCAACAGCTGCCAAAAAATATATAATATGCCATATACCAAACAACATACAAAATTGCATATTTGTCTATTGCAAACTAAACTAATTGCTTACTTTAATTTTGATCGTAAATTTGATACAATACTTTAGTAAATGAGAGGAGTTATATAATCTAAAAAATATCTTATACAATTAATTTTGTTGTATCTTCTTATCTCAAATGTAGTGAAAATATGAAATACGGTAAATTAGGTGTTAAATACTTGCTATTTCACTTTTATTATCCAACATAATCCTAAAGAATAATCACCCGCGAATATTATAAATCGTCTTCATTTGTTTACCGTTTCTCTGTTTAATAAAATGTTCTTGTATAATTTTAAATACTTATAAAAGCTTATGATAGAGAAAACAACCACCAATATATTATAATGTATAATAAAGCAATTGACAAAAATCTTTACCGGTGGAATCCCTTATTTATAAGGCTTATTGGTAGTGTGATCACCACCCATTTGGTGAATGACGTTATTTATGCATTGACATTGTAAATGTAACGGTTGCATAAGCAAAAACAATCAACTATATTGTTTTTTTTTATACCAGACTAATCAATAAAGCACAAAAATAGGGCTTATTATTGATTTTCCGCAAAATAAGATGGATTTGAATTGGGTTTTGGGTATTCGATTCTTAATAATCTCCACAAACTTTGTGACGGTATGTGATCACGAAGACATGAAAAACTGTATTTGTGTACTAGAAAAAATGTATTTTAAAAGTTTAAAAATTTAAACTCGATAAGCATTAATAAAAATGAGTCCAATTTTGTTACTCAGGGTTTTAGAGGTCGCCGAACACGGATATGATACCGGACAGAGCTTCCGGAATACCTGGTGCTTGTTAAGGATGTTATCAACGCCTTCCTCTGGACTTGACTATGAAAATTTGTTATATAATTAGCCAAAACTCGTTACTCGTGGAGGAGGGGGTTTCGAGGTCGGTGAACACACGAATACGACACCGGGCACCGGATATCGAGAAGAATGTTATTCGAAGAAGATTGGATTATGGTCTTCAATGAAGGACGAAGACTAAATTTAGTGTTTAGGGAAAGCAAATTTAGGACCTTGTGAGGAATTTCAATGTCACAAAGAGTTTTAATCCATTTCTAATCGAAAGGTATTTTATTAGAATGGAAAATGTCTAAATTGTTAAATTGTGGGGGACTTTAATGTCTTATGTTTTTAATGTTTAAATATTTTTATTCAATTTCTCATTGGAAGGTATTTTATTAAAATCGAACGTGCCTAGATTGTTGAGTTTATTTTATCTATGAAACCATCGACTTATGAAATAAGAATTTATATTTTTTATGAAAAGATAATTCATATTTATCAAGAAAGTGTGTTGGAAGAAATTCATCTAACTCAGAAGTAAGATTATAGATGTTCTTTTTCTTTCGAAGGCTGGCGATCATCAGGATTATTTGAACTCTGTTCACTGCTGCTCTAAAAAACTGGTTAGACGAGTAATTAAACCACTCTCTGAGATTGCGTAGTCATGGCAATCGTCGCCTTCCAACTATCTTTCCCTGTATGATATTCTGCAGAAGCTGGTATTTTGGTCCTCTCATCATATGACGGAGGTATTGTAGTTTTCCTATCCTTATTTCATTACATTATAGATGTGACGGTGGATAAATATGACATCAGAGTACAGAAGTAAAATTAAGTAATCGTCTCCTCATCTTTCTGTTTATGGATTCACTCTTACTACTCTTAGGTTGTAATATGTTAGTAAGTGGACCTATGGTCGAGAGCATCAGAATATTGGTACATCATCATTCACAGCTTATTCTACCGATTATGGTGCAGTCTCTCTTACATAGTCGTTCTTCATTTCTGTCCAAGATTGTCTTATATTTGTTTCTTTTTGCCATTTTGTACCTGCTTGTTTTTTTATGTTATAATCAACGTAATATATCAACGAATTGTTCGATGATGAAAGAGGAGATTTGGAGCACATATAACTTACGTCAGAAGAAATAAGTCCATATATTACAAAAGAAGAAATATTACACGCATTAAAAACAATGAAGAGTGGGAAAAGCCCTGGATGTGCGGAAATTCTAGACAAGTAGCACATTGATGTTTTAGTGACACTCTTGAACCAAATTTATAGTTCAGGCGTATTACCCAACGAGTGGTTAACGTCGATTTTTATTTGTCTCCCCAAAAAGAAAAACGCAAGAGAATGCAGCGATTACCGCACCATTAGCTTGATGTCTCAAGTGCTGAAGTTACTGCTGAAAGTCACCCATAACCGAATATATCACAAACTGGACATAGACGTTGATGATACACAATTTGGTTTTCGCAAAGGCCTAGGAGCGCGTGAAGCTCTTTTTTCACTTAATATACTGATACAAAGATGCCTAGACGTCAATCAAGATATAAACGCATGTTTTATTGACTATAATAAAGCATTCGATAAAGTACTACATTAACAATTAATGAGTGTCCCGAAATCAAAGAAGATTGACTAAAATGACCTCAGGATCATATCAAATTTATACTATAAATAGCGAGCAAAAGTACGTGTTAACAAACAACCATCAATAATTTGAAATTAGATGTAAAGTGAGACAGGGATGCGTATTGTCACCAACTGTTTTTAATGCCTACTACGAAGAGATCATGAAAAACGCTCTTGAGAGTGAAACAGCTGGAATGAAGTTAAATGGAGTTCCCATAACAGTATTAGATAGATATTAGACATGCGGGCGACACTGTGATCTTAGCCTCTGTGATCGAAGATCTTCAGAGAATGGTGACCAGTATAGCGAAGTATGGAAAAGAGTATGTCTACAA